GAGCTACCCAAAACATGTTTCTGTATTGTAGATTTCCACCTAAATGAAATTCTTGATTCTTTTGAAATGTTGATTTGTTTGAAAATTTTCAAATTTCTTTCACAATACAAACAAATTTTTCTTACCACCTAGATGGTGATCCAGTTGATCTTCAAGGGAATGAAAATATTGTTTGAATCTCGAAAAATTTATATTCGACCAGGGTTAACTTTTAAAGGTATCTCAATTACTTTACAATCCAGCACTCAGATAATCTCAAAACTGATTGAAGCTTAGCATGGTTCCTTCCCTTAACTTTATTTCGTTTGACAGAAAATAAGAGAAAAACACAAAGTTGAGTGAGTTTTTTAAGAAACTTTAAAAAATTCCTTCCCTCAACTTTCAGTTTCCATCCTACTTTTTGACAAATCAAACATAGCTTTATCAGGTCCATTTAATGTGATGAAAATCCCAGTTCTCATGCATGCATGGTGAATTGGCTAGTAATCTTAATCTCAATTTGGAAAGAGTGTAAATACAAATATGCACTGTTTTCAAAATTTGACCGGACCGGGCGATCAGACTGAAAAACTAGGAACCGATTACTTGACTGGTTTCGTTGTCTTCTAAAACCGTTGATTTTGGTTAGCAAACCACTGAACCGGCCAGTTAACCGTTCAAATAGTTTTGAACGTTTTCCAATTTTTTAATTTTTTTTGTCAAAACGGGCCAGCTGTTCGGGTTGAATGGTCGAACCGTTTGAACCAGTAACCGGACCCCTGACCAGTTCGGTCACTAATTCGTTTTTAAAAACCATGCAAATATGTAAAATACAAAGCTTTGTATATTGAATTATAAACCTTGAATTTGCACCGTACATATTTGTATTTGTATTCTTCCCAAATTGAGCCTAAGGCTGTATTTGGTTGCAGTGTAAACTATTTGAACTAACACAAAACAAATGGTAGTGTAAATTCATGATTTGGGTGCAAATTCTGATAATCTAATTTTGTTTTGATAAGTTTTACCTTATTTTGTTTGATTGCAATTCAATTGAAGTAAAATAAGACTTGAGGCAGAATAAAGTAAAACCCCCCCCAAAAAAAAACCAAAATTTGCATTCTTTTCATTTGCACTCCCATGCCTTTGTACTAGTGCAAATAAAATTGCACTGCAACCAAACGCAACCTAGCTAAGGTCCAAATTTCAGAAAAAGATGGACAACCAATGTTGAATGGAAAGGCTAGAAATGATAGGATCAGGAATGAAATCATCTGTAGGAACCTAGGAATAACTCCAATAGATGATAAAATAAGAGAAATTAGGTTTGGTGACGATGCATAGAAAACCATTAGTAGAACTAATAAGAGAAATGATTTGTTACAAATTGAAGGAACTAGAAGGGTCAAGGGTAGACCAAGAAGGACATGGATAGAAGTATTAAGAAATTATTTAGGCTGTGTTTGAAATTGATGCAAATGAAGTGTAAATCTCGGTTCAGGGTAAATTTGCACTCTGGTTCACTTTTGCCTGTGTTTGGCAACATTACATTTATGCATTGACAAATGATAGACCAATGCATATTTGCATTGATAATAAGATGTAAAAGTACATCAATGAAAAAGAAGTAAATTTGTATTTAAGTGGGCTTTTGATAAAAAAAAAGCATATGCTTTATTGGAATTCATGTTTGCATCCATTACAACTAAAAAATCTGCTTGGTAAGAATATAAATTTGTTAGTGCAAAACTAACCCAATTTTACAATTTATATGAACCATTTTACACTCTACATATTTACATTCACACTTATTTGCATCGTTTTCAAATGCAGCCTTTAGTACTAATAATTTAATAGTGGATATGACTTCTAAACATAATATATTTGGAAAACAGGATTCATGCAGCCAACCCTATATAATTGAAATAATGAATGGATGATGATGATGATGGACAACCAAAGACCATCCTAGCTCGTACAAATATAATGTGCAATGTGTCTAATAGGATCAGTAGCCGGAAAAAAGTGATTTGGTAGTTGTAGGGGTTAGAAACAAATTGAACATTACTTGGGTGAAAGTAATTAGAAATGATTTAACCACTTAAATTTAACAATAGATTTGACACCAAATAGAATGAAAGGGCAAAAGAAGATTGAAGTAGATGGGGCAAAGCTTTGATGATGATGATGTGTCTAAAGTGTATAACTTATGTATGTATGGCATGTGTATGTACAAGCAAGGTTTTTAAAAACGAATTGGAAACAACCGGTCAAAGCACCGGTTTCTGGTTAAGCGGTTCAACCGTTTGGGTCGAATGGTTCGACCTGTGACATCATAAATAAATTAAAAATAAAAATATATTTATAAATAATAAAAAATAGCATAAAATTAAATAAAAACAGAAAAATACATAAAATAAAACTATCTAAATACAAAAGTTATACAGTATAAAATACATAAAAAATATAAAAATAAAATACAGAAAAATTCTAAAGAATACAGAAGAAACACAAAAATTCAAAAAACATAGAAAAATAAAACTATCTAAACAATTAACAATTAAGGAAACCAACATGAATAAAATTTAAAACCAACATATTATTAGATGACTATGACATTGTTGGAGGGCCTTAGTAGAACGCTAGATCATCTTATATCCATAAATTGAGAATCTGAGACTGAATTCAATTAGCTTTACTCTTGGAAATCCTCATCATCATCTCTAACTCCAAAGAAAAAAGAACTAGAGGTAATCCAATGCCAAGTGACAAAAGAAGGTAATCACAGCATGTATGCGGATGAGCTCAACAATGGTCACGATGACCAAGATTCTAATGCTAAGAACTAAGCGCTCAATTAAATCGGCAATGGCAGGCAACGGGGCAGTGACAGGAAGTCAGGAAGCAACAGAAAATCAATCAAGCTTGTAATTTGTATCATCGGAAGAACTAGAATATATCCAGTTTTGAAATTGCCACCACTATCGATATGGTCCCAAACATCAAAGGTCTTTGCAAGGGGCTTAGAAAGATCATTGCCCAGACAGTGAGAGCGTAAGATAACCCCACCGAATCCAGAAAAATGGGTTCTTGGGGAAGTGTGGTAGGGGAGGGTAGGGGCTGTCGCCGCTTGATAGAGGCAAAGCTAGGGCCACCGGAGCTATCTACGTCGAGTATGTCGATTGAAAGAGGAGGGGAGACAACTCAAATGCCAGTGCAGAAAGAGTCGTGCCGTTCAAAGCTTCTAAGATCCATTGCTCGATTTTGCATGCTCTGCTCCCAAAATGCAGAGAGACTTGCGAGGGCAGATCCGGGTTGGTTGGTCCGGAAAGTTATGGGAGAGGCAGGCTAAGTGAAATAATATACTGGAAACTACGCAAGTTTCTGATGGTTCGCACTGCGGCAGCTTCTGGGCTAATTGGGGATGCAAATTTTCTGCGTTTTTGAGCTATGAATTCCTTGACATGCTCAAGCTTGGCTATCACTGCACCCGCCATAGCACCAGCAACAAAGATGGTCACCGCCGATAATGGTGGTGTGACTGTGACGGTGGGCTTGGGCTTGGTCGCAGGTGATTGTCGTTGCAAGTGCTGCTGCAAGCCTGCAACTGTTATTGCCGCTAAAACCCCCTGCCCACCGCTGCAAAATCGCCGGCCGCCGCTGCAAATCAGTCGCCGGACCTGTTACTGCTGGACGGTTGGACCTGCTGCAAAATCAACGCTGGCTACCATAGATGAAGCTGACCGCCGTCGCCGGTGGCTGTGAATGGTTGTCGTCGCTGTGTTTCGCCGTCGACTGCCGTAGGTCGTAGTCGGTTGGGTGTGAGGGCTGAGAGGAGGGAAGGTTAGAACGAAAATGGGGGTCGTTCTAACCCTAAGCATTCGTAATATTTGGGGTCAGGGATATAGGAGTCATTTTATTTTTTTGTTTTTTTTATTTTATTTAAATCAACGAAAATATAAAATATAATCCGGCTCGGGTCAAATGGTTTAGCGGTTTGATCGCTCGGGCCAGCGATTTTCTGACTTTTTCAACGGTTTTTAAAGAATTGCCGATTTATAATATATCCGGACCCGAAAGCCTGACTGGTTACAAGTTTTTCCGGTCTGACCCCACGATTGAAACGGTTCATCATTCATTCTCCTCAATTAGCGTGGTCCTACCAATTGTTTGTCTACTGGGCTAAATCCAACATTTTCTCTGTTGGACTGAGACTACTCAAAAGGAAGTCTTTCTCAAGTAGTCTATATTCTTTTCCTTCCTTTGTTCCCTTCTTTCAATAAAAAAAACTGGTAGCTCTTGAAAATTGAAGATACAAAGTTTTCCTTCATTCAACTATTCAGTGATATGGATACATCATTTGTCATGGACCAAATAAGCCATTAGCTCAATCAAAGAGCCCCAGGGGTCAAAGCAAATTAAGAAAGAAAAACACAGAAAAAAGGGGGAACTCGTAAGATTCAAAGAAAGAGAAGCAGATCAAAAGAGAAAAAAGAAAACAAGAAAAGAAAGATTGAATTTCCCTGCATCTATGCAGACAAAAAGTTTACCTTATGTAATTAGGCCTGTCAATGATATCTCGAAATTTAAAGTTTGATCGGATATTCAATCCAAGTATCTCGAATTCAGATGATGTATTTATGTAATCGGATCAGATTCAGATTTTAAATCTACATCCCATTAAAAATTAGATTAGATTCAGATTTTACTCTATCTGATTCGATTAAAATCCAAATCCAATTATATTATAATATTTATTAATTTTAATACATAAATTCATATAATTATACTTAAAATTATAAAAAATATATTTATATTATATATATATAATAAATTGAATATGTTATATTTATATTAATTTATTATATATAAAAATTGAAAATAATTAATTTTTTATTTTAAAAATTTAAAGCAAAATCGAATTAAATCGATCCGAATCCAAAATCTTCAAATTCGATTGAATATTTTTATCCAATTTGAATGCAAATTTTCAATAATAGGATCGAATTAAGAATTTGTTGAATGCCATCCGTTTACTGCCCTATCAATAACATGGACTTGATCCATGTTAGGTGAGGTTTGGTTTCAGCCTTCCAGACAAGGCAAAAGCAGAAGGTTTGGTTTGGTTAAGAACGTAATTCCGAGTTTGGCATTAAAACATCTCGGCATGTTAGGTGAGGTTTGGTTCATATTGCAACATCCTTCTTTCGGCTGGAGCCGGACAAACTGATAAGCTGAGCTGCCTTGCATTTAGAGAACGCCAGTACATGTCCTTGTATCATCATCAGTCTATGTGTATGGGCGGAGCCGCGGAGGTATCAGGCAGCTGCTCTTGTCCCGCAGTAAATGCAATGCTAAAACCTAAAACCTAAAACCTAAAACCACCACCTGGACACTGTTCGATCCATTGCCTACGTGGCTGCTGACCTGACAAAATCATCCTACTCCATATGCGTCACAGCTCTAAGTCTCTAACCATCATTTCATCCTCCGTTACTTAGCCTGGTCATACGACCTACGCCACGTGGCAAGAAAAAAAAGAGAGTATCCAAGATCAACGTAAGTAGATAACCCGTGTGAAGAGTTAACACGGTTGGTTAAATAGAGCCGATTTACTGGGGCTGCCCAATAAATGCTTCCATTCCATCTTCTGACAATACAACGATGCCTAAAATTGAAGACAAGCAAACTCCACGAAATACCTTCCTTTGGAAAAGCTACACTATCCAAATGGTAAAAGAATATCAGCTTCCCATCTCCGAGCAGCCTTAAAATTTGAAGTTTCTACATCCCCATCTCTTCAATTCTCATATTCAATAATCTCCCCTACTTCTCGTCCCCCATCATTGATAGAGCCATCCATGGAGAGAAGAAAGCCCAGAGGAAGCACAGATGAGCTGGCCGTAGTAAAGGCAGCAGCATGGGCGTGGTACCAACATGGATCAGGGTCCGAGGGGAAGCCGATGCCCGAATTCGACCTCGCAAGGATACGTCGCCCGGCGATACCATCTCGGTACAAGCTAGAGGCGCTGAGGATGGCTGATTACAGCACGGAGGGATCGACCTCGCCGGCTCCAACTGTAAGCCCATCTTACACAGACTCCAATTCCCTACTCGATCCCTACGAAATCCAGAGAATCTCCCAACAACTCGACTATTTCATAGAAACCAGCAGTGTTAAGTTCTTTCGCGAGTCTAGCGTCAGGGAACAAGGTCGCCGGAAAACCATGACACCTCTGGAAACTTACGCAAGCGTGAAGAAGATGAGCAAGAAACTGAACGGTTTCTGGCTAAGGCACGCGGCGGTCGTCTGTGGGTCAAGCGGTGACGTGGTGGAAGCCGGCGTCTTGGGTGGGCAGCGCCGCCCGCTAAAGCATGTCTCAGTCGTGAGCTTCCCTAATTGCCGTCCAAGAGCAACTAGCCTTGCTAAGTAAAACGTGCTTCTGTAACAGATTTTTGGTTTGTAAAATGTAGCAATAATGTAATGAATTGTCTTTTGTGCGCCTTTCTCTAATTTTTCATAGTGTTGCACCGGCCGACGCATGGAGTAGATATCTTCTAGATCTAAAATATTTATATCCAAACGCCTCCTTGATGGGTCCACCTTTAGGTGTTGTATTGATCCAACGGTTGCGAGAAAAGGATCCAAAGACACGAATATTTGCATGAGAAATGTACAGTAGTCTTCTTCTCATCTTCTGGTTGGTTATCAGTCATGGAGTTTCACATGGGATGATGGGATTGTAACCTTTGTTTTGTTTCTTCTGGGCACTGGGGACACGATCTGTTAGACCCACGGGAGACGGCTAAATTTAGTGTGGTCCCGGCCCAAAATAAGTGATTATTTGAGTAAACACTTATTTTTTGAGCATTCCCAAATTTGGTCTAAAGTAGGAGACTTTCAAACTTGAAGATCATCATGAACAAAAGTTATGGCCTTGTTATTTTTCCTGAATTTTTATTTTATATTTGTGTGAAGTTTTGTTCCATTTATAGTTTTGAGGGTAAGTTTTACTTTTTTTTAAAAAGGTAATATTGTATAGACAAATATGTACCATCTGTTATATACCCTATGGATGATTTGGTAGATGCCACCTAATCTATCGTGTGATCTAGATAGGAGGATGTTGGATCCAGCTGGCCATACAACAAATCACAATGTAGGAATTGGGAAACATTATCACAGATATGTCTTGAAATTTGAGGCTGCAAATGGATCAAATCCAATCCGATATGGGTATAGATCCAAATTTGTTTCATTTATATTAAATTCAAATTTGGTTTTATCGATTGGATATATAGTAAATTTTAAGGTCAAAATATTGATATTAGAATTGAATACAATTAGGATTGCAATGAAATATTCCATAGGTATAAATATATTAGAATAATACATAAAAAATATTATTTATTATCAATAAAATGAAGTAAAAATGACTTGAATATTATATTCATAAACAAAATGAATTAAAAATTATTTGTATGTAATTTCAATCTATGAAAATTTAATAAAAACACACACAAACCAATTAAGGGAGTGTTTGATAATATAATTTTGCTGATGTGGGCATTGTTTTTATTTTAAAAAACAAAATCGTGTTGACTAAGGATCAAAATTTTGATACAATATGCTTCATATTAGACATTTCGTATTGTGTTTTAGAGTCCAGAAACACCTATTTACAAGTGTCTTGAAAACCCCTTTTTCTTAATAAAAAATACACTTAAAAGCATCCCCAAAAACAAAGTTTTGAACAAAAAAAAAAAAAAAAAAAACAACTAAACACGCATAGTTTTTAGTATCGATACTCGTTGAACCATGATGTTGGCGAAGACCCCTAAGAATGGGGTTCAACTATGATATTAAAAAAACTTTATAACTAATGAACCGAGTGATAACCAATCTATGTGGTATTTATTAAAATTCAGGAGATTAATTGATAAAAGCCCTTGTCGTATCATGTCTTTTCAACAGCATAGTTTTTTTTTTTTAAACATTTAAATTGAATCAGAATGGATTGTATGAGATCAGATAAAAGGAGTGAATTCGATCGGATCAACTTCAATAGGATGGAATTCGAATTCAAATTGGAATTCAGAAAATCAGTTAAGGTTTACAGGCTTACAACCCTGCTGAAATTACTAAAAGACCCTTCATTGTCAGAGAGAGAGAGAGAGAGATTTTTCAAGCTCTCTTACAATGGCAAAACTGGTCCCTACACTCTGGTGAAGCTAGCCCAGTGGTTCGACGTTTAAGCCTTAAAATTAAAGGCCTCCTTACTTGGCACTCACTCTCGTGACAGTAGCATTGAAGCTCTATCTTGGACACATATCATTTGAGAGGTGAGGGTGACTCCAACGGTGTCGAGTACTTGTGGGACCCATGTATCTGAAAACATTAAAAAGGTTATTGGTTATGCTTTAGACATACTTATTTGTGATGTTAACACACACCTAATAATTTGGATCCTTTTGACGTCTCTTCTTCTGCAGCAAATCCAAACTCGTCATCCATTGACTCCTATTTCTAATACGGAGTCCGGACTGTTACTCGTATACTGCGCCTCACATTGAATTCACAGTATGCCCTAGCTGTATGTTGGGAATATCTTCTGTATTTATATTTATCGACAAATATAGATACACACGATGCAGAATTCTGAATTCCAGGCCCCCTATTATTAGCCATCTTCCCCCTTATAAACCACATCCTGTCCGTGAAATTGGTATCAATTCACGGTCAGGATGCATTCTCCCTGTACTTTGGGACTATAAAATTCTGATATGGGCTGATTGGTCATTCTCCCGTATATTTATTATTTATGGGAAGATATTCTCAGTACAGGATAAGATGTGGTGTGAGCAGATTCCAATTAGTCCCAGTGACAAATATGAGATGGGTGGTGTCCGATCATGTTGATAGTGTCGGAATGCTTTTTTTTTTTTTGACATTTTAAAATTTCCAACAAAACAAGATGCCTGGCATTGTCATCCAGTAGGGGTGTTCAAGGCATGGTCTTGGAATTATTGTTGACCTGTATGGTTGGACCGTTTAACCTGCAAATCATCCAAGTAACCGGCTCTGTTTCATCCCTGAACCATTCCTTTGCCAAAAACTGCTGATTTGGTCAATGATCTATTGGCCCAAATGGTCAAATCATCTAACTGTTTGACCTGAATAATGGTTTTGGCTGTTTTTTTTTTATTTTTTTTAAATTACAACGAACCATCCATTTGGATCGGACTATTGAACCGCTGACTTGGAAACCGGTGGCCAAAGAGGTTCCAGGTCAGTTTTTAAAATATTGGCTCACAGTTCAGTTAAATCTTCTGGTGTTTTAATATTTGTGAACCAAAACTGAACCAAGTCAACTGGTTAACCGATTAACAAGTTCAGTTTATTGGTTTTTTAAATTTATTAAAAAACATACATAATAGATAGATAGATAAATAGATAAGTGCACTTAATAGTCTTCCTTTATTCACATGGTAAAGTTATACAGTATCTATTTATTGCCGCATCACATATTAACAGTTTTCGGTGTGGATGGATAAATAATTTACTCAAGTCTTAGGAAGGTATTACTTGCCTAGGTAATTAAGCCATTTAGAGAATCATTCTTTTCCACAGGACCCACTAATACCAAAATACAAACACAATTTTATTTCTATCGTCATTGATGAAAATACTTTTTATCTATCATACTTATTTTTGTTTAATAGGATGTATATATAATATTAGAGATGTGCCTAAAATTTTTTATAGATTTTCTTTACTTTTTGTATTTTTTTCATCTATTTTTAAATTTTTGGTATTTTACTATAGCATCGTGGATTAACTTGTTTGAGCCAAATGGTTTAACTGCTAACCCTCCACTAAAAAAGCTCAATTTCATTATAAGGACAGCTAAAAAATATAGCTTTTTATACTATTATAACTATTGTTCATGTATTTAATTACTGAAATTTAATGATGTAGAGGGGTATTCTAGTTAAGAAAAAATCCACAAGCCTTGGGAAGCTACTTCCACTCTTTATTAGTAGTATATAAATATTGATTAGGGCATCTATTGGAATCAAAGGGTATGTGCCCCATAAATGAATGAATCCAAAATCCAAATCAGCACCCTAAAGAATGATTCCAATAGACATCCAGTTGATTGTAGCCCATTGACGAGTAATCTCTTGGATCCAGACATCCAGTTGCCTGGTTTCACCCCACATTGATTGTAGCCTTAACCCTACTTAGCTTGTATTTCAACCAGTGTAAATTTATTCCATTACAATCTTGTATCATGGTTATGGCCTTATGGGAGCTACTCTCCTGGTTGTAGAGCCTAAACGGTCTTCTTGAGGATTAAACATGGGTTGCGTGGCCATGTTTTCAACCGCTCATCCCACTACGCTCCTTCAATGAAGGAGAAATCAATTCAAAGAATTAGCCCAAAAATTGGGTTCTGATGACTGAAATGGACAGTTCGGTTTTGATTTTGAAATCGTCTATTTCTTGAGGGCCAATAAATGCGTTGAATCAACTCCAATCACCTGTCCACTAGATGTCTGCCCACGTCTACCCACAACACACTACTACCTAAATTGAAAACATCTCCTCCTGCATAATATTATGTAGGAAGATTAGATGTTCTTCATGTGACTGCAATGTTATATGAGTAAACGTGGGCAGAACTTGTGTGAACAGGAGATCCGGACTCTATTGAGTCCTGAATACATTTTCATCAACCTCCACGCCATTTGTAAGACCTCTCTAACTATTGAACCATCTAACTCATGGTGAGAATTGAGAAATGCTTTTGAGTTTCCGCCAACGAGCAAGGAGCAACAGAGCATGATCTCTTCAAGAATTTCTCATGGAGTTTGTGAGCAATAACAACTCTTAACACAACATGTATGTCTTCGTGATATTAATTGAAAGTTTGTTCCTTTGACGGGTCAGTGTTATAAAGAATCACGCTATGAGACTCACCATCTCTCTGTGGTCTATGTTGGTACACGCAGCAATTCGAGATACTACAATCCAAATACAGGCATAGATTAGTTGAGACTTGAGACTTCCGTTTACAGATTAAGAGACTATTTGGGAGGGCTGAGCCATTTTGCAGAAGCTATCTATAAATTCGATTTTGCAGCTTCTGTAAACCTATTTTCACTTTCCGGGTTTTTACCAGACATGACTTTATGACGTTCTAGGTTGCTCAGCTCATGCTTTTGTAATGTCAGAAGCCGCTGCGTGAAACCCCTCCCAAACAGGCACTAACAAAGGACTGTCAATAATACACGCAGGCACACAGTTGCTTTTGTTCTAAAATTCAACTCTTACTGTTTTTTATATCTTTTTGGTACGACAATTTGTCAATGGATTTGTTATATCATATAGTAATAATATTGAAACAATAACATAAAAGTATCAGTGACTCTAAAATCTGATACGTATCATATGATACGACAAGGTTAAAAAAATCGTTACTTATCAGCCAATACGTATCATATCGAGCCTTTCCTGATACTCCTACAGAGGTTGTATCAGGTCAGGGCCTGG